TAGATCTCACGTAATTTGAAGTGATCATAGATCTCACGTAATTTGAAGTGATCATAGATCTCACGTAATTTGAAGTGATCATAGATCTCACAAAGTATCCTTAAGTATACGCCTTTTCTAAAGCAACAAGTAAGGCAACTAATTGTTTTGAAATAAGTAGAATTATTACAATTTTTGATCACACAATGATCTTTTTAGCTTAATGATCTCTTTCTGATTCATGCATTCATGACCTTGATTCTATCTCATGTATTCATGATCTCGATTCTGATTCAAGATCTTGTTTCTAGTTCATGGTTAGTTTCTGATTTATGATCTTGATTCTGATTTATTATCTCGTTTCTAATGTATTATTTCGTTTCTAACCATTGATCTTGTTTCTTACCATTGATCTTGTTTCTAACCATTGATCTTGTTTCTAACCATTGATCTTGATTCTAACCATTGATCTTGTTTCTAACCATTGATCTTGTTTCTAACCATTGATCTTGTTTCTAACCATTGATCTTGTTTCTAACCATTGATCTTGCTTCTAACCATTGATCTTGTCTCTAAGCATTGATCTTGTCTCTAATAAAACAATCTTATTCTAGGATCTTGATATTGAGGGTGATATCGATGAGGCAGAAGCAGATGAGTAGATGCCAGCCAAACAATAGGCCTGACCATAGAGTAGTCATAAATAATAATAATCTGGCCAAACAATGGATATTTTGTGTTATATAAATGTTTCTCGTCATACTTTTTATTTCTATTTCGCATATCTATAAACTTGTTGTAATAGTTCACTTCTGCTTTTCACCAAATATATAATCTTATTGTTAATTGTATTTTAACTACAGGGTCAACCACAAACGGATGAGACTTCAGAGACGACTGAATAGAATTTATACTGTCTAAATCACTATTATATTCGGGATTCCGCAACTGTAAACGATTGTTTCTCTCTTTGTTAAATCATATACATTAGCATTAAAAGACAATATTCAGGGCAGACTGATTTAACCTTGGGATTATTATATAGTTCTAAATAGTCTTAGCAATATCGTCCTTTGTGGGTAACCCTGCAAATTAATATATATATTTATGCGAGTTATGAGGTATTCTGGATTCTGAAAGCTGTTGAGATTTTAAAAGGAAAATATTTTTCAATTTAGAACCCGAGGTTGAATATTTTTATTTTTCAATTTAGAACCCGAGGTTGAATATCTTTATTTTTCAATTTAGAACCCGAGGTTGAATGTTTTTATTTTTCAATTTAGAACCCGAGGTTGAATATCATTATTTTTCAATTTAGAACCCGAGGTTGAATATCTTTATTTTTCAATTTAGAACCCAAGGTTGAATATTTTTTTTACAATTTAGAACCCGAGGTTGAATATCTTTATTTTTCAATTTAGAACCCGAGGTTGAATATCTTTATTTTTCAATTTAGAACCCGAGGTTGAATATCATTTTTTTTCAATTTAGAACCGAGGTAGAATATCTTTATTTTTCAATTTAGAACCCGAGGTTGAATATTTTTATTTTTCACTTTAGCACAGGGCTACCCACAAAGAATGAAGTCTGAGAAGAAATCATCTAAAATGAAAACATGGGGGGTCTTCAACAAGAATCTGGTGGTCTGCAACGAAAATCTGGGAGTCTCCAACGAATATCTGGGGTTTTCAATGAAAAATATGGGGGTCTCCAATGAAAATCTGAGGGTCTCCAATGAAAATCTGGGGGTCTCCAATGAAAATCTGAGGGTCTCCAATGAAAATCTGGGGGTCTCCAATGAAAATTTGAGGGTCTCCAATGAAATTCTTGGGGTCTCCAATGAATATATGGGGATCTCCAACGAGGTGTCCATGGGGGGTCTCCAATAGTACTTAAATGGCTATTATTTCTACCCGGACTCCAAAGAATGAGATTAAATGAGAACCTGGAACTCATCTAATATAATGATTTGCATATTGAATTTTGATATTCCCTCAGAAATAAAGTCTTTCAATGGTATACTGATCTAGTTGACCCTGAAATTAACTAAGGAACTGAGTACTTAAAACAAACCCGATGTTTTAACTTGTATACCTTTGCAATCTTATGTCGTAGACCTTAGATATTTAAAACTATAAATTCTGTTAGATAAAATAATCTAAGTTTGTAATATCAAAGGTGTGCACCATCAGGCTGCAAAGATATAGAAATCAGAAAATTTGAGTTTGTTGCACAAACTCAATTCCTTCACACGGCAAGAACCCATAAATGGGAAAAAATGAACATTCATCTCAGACTCCAAAATCGACCCATCCCAATGTTCATAACGGATTTCTAGGATAAATCTATACAAATAGATATATTAAACTAGAAGAGAAATATTCCTTTCTTATACTGTAGTTCTTGTGTTCTTGTTAGTCCTGGGCCAGACTGTTTGCCAATCTTACAATCCTGTAGATATATATATATATTTACATCCCTTTAAGACTGTTTGCCAATCTTACAATCCTGTAGATATATATATATATATTTACATCCCTTTAAGACTGTTTGCCAATCTTACAATCCTGTAGATATATATATATATTTACATCCCTTTAAGGTTTTAAATTTATTCACATTTTTTGCATTTTCCTTGTGATGTACTTTTTGAAATTTGTATTATGTATTCCTTTAACTTTTAGGTTCTTATAAACATTGTCTCCTTGAAAGAAGATTATTTTTGAACAACTGAACCAGCTCTTAAAAAGGGATTGTTTCTTTTATTCTAAATACACATACAATTCTAATTTAATTAAATCATGGTTCAGTTTAATTGGACAATAACATTTCCGGAAATTACCGAACAAGTTGAATGGATTTTAACATTTTACAAATATGTCATGATTTTATGTTTTAATCTTTAAAGGGAGTGACTGGCTATGTAAGGTAGTTGAACTGAGTATGCAGTGTTGTGGAAAACTTCTTTCGGATTTTTTGAGACATATTACACTTTTTAAAGATCTGTAAATCCTGAGTTTGAGCGCAAATTCGACGTTCAAAACTTCTACTTTGGGGATGGATACGTTTTCAGTATTAGTTGTATTTAATTGTTAAATAACGACGACATAAAATGTAAAAAATTTTAAAAAATTGTTTAGGAACAGGTTTAGAAAATAAAAATTAATCTTATCATCGAAAAGAAGTAATCTTGTTAAATTATTTGTTTCTATTTTCTCATTATTCTGGTTTCTCATTAATCAAAGATTTTCCGCAGATTTTCTGGAATTATTATTGAAAAGACGACATTTGAAAAATTTGAAGAGATCTGCGAATAAATTCAAAGAAAATAAGAAATTCAATATAGTGATGAAAAAGAAATAATTTATTCTAGCATTGATTTATTGACAAATTTCTTTTGAGAAATATGTTCCTAATCATCTAATTAGGTTACTGTATAATTTTTATATTATTTTTCGTCGTCGTTATTTAATAATCTAAAAAAACCGATTTTGAAAACGTATCCATCCCCAAAGTAAGATTTCTGAACGTTGAATTTGCGCTCAAACTCAGGATTTACAGATCTTTAAAAAGTTTAATATGTCTCAAATGAATCCGAAAGCAGTTTTCCACAGCACTGCATACTCAGTTCAACTACCTTACATAGCCGGTCACTCCCTTTAACACACTAATTCTACACTCTGTTACCAAGCAAATATAATTTGTACAAAACTGTGGCATTGTTGCCATAAGGTTTAGTCGTATCTTCGCTGGTATAGACTTTTTAAAGACTTTATAAAGACTGTATAAAGACTTTATAAAGTCTTTGTAAAGTCTTTAAAAAGTCTCAAATTAAATGTCTCAAATGAATCCTAAAGAATATGATCACAACACTGCTTCTACATCTACCTTACACAGCTGGTCTATCCCATTAAAGTTTATTCTAATAAAGTTGGCTGCAGTAGTTAGTTTTGCCTAAAATATTATGATTATTATACATCGAGTCAGGATTGTATGGTTTATTTCCTTTCGTCAGGGAACAAAACGGATTTGCGAAAATAAAAACTTTCCTATTTTTAACGAAGGGTCGTCGTTATCGCTCGTCAAAAATTAAAAACAACCTACTTTCCATAAAAACTATCGTTTTAAAAACAATAGTTTTTAAAAACGGTCGTTTTGTTTTTCTTCGTTGTTTTTAAACGATCGTTTTTCAAAAAAAGTGAAAACGATCCATCCCTAACTGCAGGTTAAATATGTTATATTATAAAACATGAAGAGCAAAGACGACAGTTATTTCACTGTTTATTGGTTCTCTTTGTATAAAATACAAACATATGAGAGAGTAAATATTTGACTGTATATTGTATTTTCATAAATACTATAATGAAAAATAAAATGACATCATAATGTAATCTAAGGATTATAATTAAAGAAAGTCCTTTGGGGTTTCTACTTCATTTTCTTAGTATCAAAATATTAAAAGATTAAATGCCAAACCATATGATCAAAACTCTTGAAATTATCAAAAAAGTGTACGCTGAACAGTAGGGGGCAGCTACTTACTTTTCAAAAATATTATAGAAATAGAAATGATATAGAAATGATTTAAACAGAAACTTTCCGTATTATTTCTGTAGAAGAATTCCGCAAGTTACTTTTATAGAGAAACGTTCTTTCTTGATCCCAGAATCCTTTCAAGGGTAACCGTGTGAATCGGATATGGCACTCTAAAAGTTGAGGCTGATTTGAAATGACGTCTACATTTTTTATGAAACACAATTTCGGGTATTGAAAGTTTTTTGTTGAATAAAAACTAACTCACACAGTTTAATTAAATATATCAATATATAAAGGAACTGTATACGTAATTTAAATTGACTTTCCAATGAAAGAATTTCATTCCTGATTAATAATCCTGAAACATTCATTTCAGTATAAGCAAGTTTTTTTTAAAGAGAATAAAATTATCGATTTCCTTTCTCGGTTCGGACATGTTTCTCCCTAGATTGAGGTTCATTAGAAAATACTGCAACAGTCCCTTTGAGGAAGTTAGATAAACCTTTAAATTAAAATAATTGGTTTAATATTTGAATGTGGAAATATATTTCACAAATATAATATATCTAGGAACTTAATGATACGTCCGTTTTATTTAACAATGTCAAATTCACAGTGTTTTATAACTTATTTACGCATATTTAGCGTTAAGCAAATACGCAGGGATCATTCCTTTTCAAACAGTTTAGATTTGAATGACTTTAAAATCTTTTATTAAGCCACCCATCAAATTAGACCGCGTCAATGGGTCTGAATTACGATGTGGGGGACAAATCAGAAAATTTAAGAAGAATGAATGATTTTGAAAATTTAATAAGGCTTATAGAATTGTTTTTGCTGTAAATGTTAGATTTTTCGAGTATTATTATGTGCATATTTTGACGTTAAAGATTGGAGATAATCTAATATTATTTATTTTCGCAAATACTGAGATTTACATGGAATAGAATAAAACCCATTAAAAAATTGTCAAGACGACATTTCATAAATTCTTTCGATGTATGGCTCATTTAGGGTTGAACTGTATGTAATAGGAAAATTAAGTAAAGAAAGAAAGTTCTCTGTGACCTCTGGTTTCTGAGTTGTGAGTTTCTAAAGTTTTAACCTCCAGACTAGGGTTTCCATTCGCAAAACTTTTGCGCAATTTTTGCGGAACGAAACGCAATATTTTTCTTTCTTTGCGCATCAATTTTTCGCGAAAAAACAACAATTTGCGCAATCATTCGCAAAAGTCATTTCGCGCAAAATTGCCCTATTCCGCTTTAATCCGCAATTCCGCAATTTCGTAAAAATCAAACGGTTGGTGACGGTGTGTGTTTCTTAGAATTCAATTCTGGAAAAATCTTGTTTTGGAATGTCTTCCTATTGGTCGCTTTTACATAATTGACCAATGACAATTAAGAAGAGTTCAAATCTCACAATTTTCTCGACAATTTTAGTTTTGGACATGCATATTTCCTAAAAGTGGATTCTTCAGGCATTGGTTACTTTCTTGCATTATTTTATACGAGATTAAAAAGATTTCAGAAATTTGATTAAAAAAATTTAAGAATACAATTCATACTTGCAGATTAAGCAAAGCTTTTAAGGCCGGGTCACTTGAAATTATTTAATAGGATTAAAATATTGCCAAGTTTCACACTCTCTAATTTTTATTTTATTAATTTTGGTCCCTTAATTTAAACTTTTTGTAACTGGAAGTAACCAATTGAGTGTAGTATAATCGTTATCATACTCGTATGTTAATATTTTTTTTTGTATATGGAATAAATCTTCAGTTGTTTAATTCTAAGCTTAGAATATCAATTTTTGACAATGTGCCTAAAAAGTTGCATATTGCGTAAAACTTGCGGTTTTGCGCAAATTGCGCAAAAATAATTGCGCAAAACTAAAATTTCGTTTCATGCGCAACTTTCGCAAAAAATATTTCCGGTTTTGCGCAAATTGCGCAAAATAAATAGCGCAAAACCGCGCAAAACTCATTGCGTTTCATGCGCAAAAATAGCGCAAAAGTTCACAAAAATAAAATTTGCGCGAAAATAGCGCAAATTTTGCGCAAAAGATTTAGCCATTTCGTGGAAACCCTACTCCAGACTGACCTCAGAAACTTTAAAGCTTTGCAACTTTTTCGTAATTAATGATAACTGCGTAATTTCAACTGCAATTTTTGAAGAATACTAGATCTAGTGATAGTTATATCAGTTATTTTGCAACAATATCGATATTTCTTTGGTAAAAATAATAAATAACCCTCTTTACCCTCGGTTTAAAAGAGCTAGCACTTTGGACTTGAGAAAGAAAGACTCTCAGGCGTATTCGCCACATACAAAGTCTTACTTGGCTTTTTTTCCGTTTTTTCATTATTTTAAAAGTTTCTGAATTTACAATGACACAACTTGTTAAACTAATTAAAATGTTAAATTGCATATTCAAAGTTTTCCGAGCCAACAAACTGAAAACTCAAACTACCATAACTACTCAGATAAAGGTTTATAAAAATGAAAAAATAAAAAATTTTAAATTATAAAAACTATTCAGACAATTAGACACATTAATTTGATAAATTGTTAATAAACTAGTAGAAATATCTTAAAAACAGAAAGACTGAGATCAATTCAGTTTATGCCATGTCAGTTTCACTGTACATTGAACACTGTACACTATATACACTGTATCTATTTTGTGCATAGTACACTTTACGGTTTTGGAGCTTTTCGTGTTTTACTGTACACAGTTAATGTACACACTGTCTTCTGAACAATGAACACTGTCTACTGAACAATGAACACTGTCTACTGAACAATGAACACTGTCTACTGAACAATGAACACTGTCTACTGAACAATGAACACTGTATACTGAACAATGAACACTGTCTACTGAACAATGGACTTTGTCTACTGAACAATGAACATTGTCTACTGAACAATGAACACTGTATACTGAACAATGAACACTGTCTACTGAACAATGGACTCTGTCTACTAAACAATGAATACCCTAAAGCCAAATAGAAAAGACAAGAAGGAGAACACTGGAGACTATCACTGAAATAAAAAACTTTGTTATTGAAATCAATTTATAGCAAAAACATCATAAAACAACCAAGTAGTACATAAATGATTGTTAAATAGCACTGCTATAATGAAATTGCACATGCCTTAGTTGAATGAATGATAAAGTGCACAATATTTTCGTTGTAATTAAAGGGACAAAAGTTGTAATTTTAAGTGAACGCCTCATAAAGAGGATTCTGTATTTGATTCTGATATTTTCTCCATCGTTTTTGCAGCAAGAAATGCGCAAGTCATTTTTGAAGAGAATTGCCACAGAAATATCTAATTCAAACTTGGTTAGATAGAGCTTTATGAAGATATGAAGAACCTTATGTAAATATATACCTGTAGCGAAGAATACGAATATTCCAGCGAGAATTGAGTTAAATATTGATCCTCGAACTAGATCCAGCAACTGTGTGAGCATAAACCCAAACTTAGTGAAATCATCCGTTCCACTCAACTCAAACTTTACCAAATATTTAAATATCATCCGTCCCACTCAACTCAAACTTTACCAAATATTTAAATATCATCCGTCCCACTTTACTCAAACTTTACCAAATATTCAAATATCATCCGTCCCGCTCAACTGAAACTTTACCAAATATTTAAATAGCATTCGTCCAACTCAAATGAAACTTTACCAAATATTTAAATATCATCCGTCCCACTCAACTCAAACTTTACCAAATATTTAAATATCATCCTCCCCACTTCATTCGAAATATTGAAATATAATCCACCCAACATTTAAAATTTATCAAAATTTAAATAGTAATCCCCCCCCCCACTCAACTCCAACTTTACCAAAATATTGAAACATTTTCCCCAAAACTAAATTCTAAAATGTTTGAGGGAAAACAATTCTAAAATGTTTAAGGGAAAACAATTCTAAAATGTTTAAGAAACCATTCTAAAATGTTTGAGGGANAATAATAATAATAATAATAATATAATAATAATAATAATAATAATAATAATAATGATAATAATAATAATGACCTGTCAGGTACTGGTTCTAGTATACCCGGGAAGATGCTAAATATAGAGTTTGTATCTTCAAAATCTTCCTCCCCAAACCACTGAATAAAATAGATAGCATAATTCTTCCAAGGTATTTCGTAGTTTTTTAACAAAAACATCGCCGGAAAGAACGGATTTATAATTGGTTCATGCTTTGCGTACACCTCTTTAAAGTTAATCTTTCATTATCTTTCTTTAACTCTAAATTGTTTCTAAAATAAAGGTAACCTTAATCTTGAAAAATCATGTTGTTTTTAGATTAAAGTTAGGAGACAAACTTATGAAGTTGGATAAGCTCTAGTCTCAACCAAGGATTGTGTACAGTTAGGGAACCCCCGGACGCCATGAACCTCTGCTATGCAGACATCGAGCCTCCCAGATTCGCTAAGCAGACCGAGTCTCCACTATGCAGTAAACGAGCCTCCACAAAGCAGCACAGCTTTTTTTAAATCTTGGTTTTTATGAGTGATGAAAACTTTTAACAATTTTATTTTGACGTAGTGGCATATGAATTTTACTAAAGATTAGAGTTGTTCATTGATTGTCATGATAAGAAACATATATGGACAAATAAAGTGGTTTATAAGATTTATATTAAAACTTTTAACATTTCTTACGCTTTGCTTTTAAGCGGTTACTTGCTTAATATTTTATGCAATCTCTAGTTCACCTTTAGAGATATTAAGATTGATTAGCTTAATCCACAAAAAAGACAAATCAGTGCTTAATGAATGAATTAGCAATGCAGAGGTTCCAACCTTTGAGCACCAATTTGCTTGTTTACACACTTGCACACATTTTCTGTAAACAACGGTAAGAAAAATATTCGTGGTCGAGTGGTGAATATTTCTATTTTTCTGTGGAATGATGCATATTTTATCTTGTATTTATCCTATATTTGGAGAATTCAGTCTACAAACCCTATTTCAAGTTTAGAATTGGAATCCTCAGATCAAATATAGGATAAATGCTTCAGCAAAAACAAAATATATAAATCTTGACAAAATGATTTCACAAAAATCTATTGTATACCGCAGTTTAAACTAGAACAATATGAAACATATGAAAGGTGTACGACATCTGGTCGCAAAGATATTAAAAAAAGAAAATTACAACTTATGTGTTCAGTTTTTTTAATTATGATATTGTAACTCCGTTTGTTTTCATTTTACATATAAAAGAAAGAAAAGCAAACTTGTTCTAAAATATTATAATATATTCAAATAATATATAATAATAATATATAATATAATATATTTAAATAATATATAATAATAATATATAATATAATATATTTAAGAATCTAAACATTTTTTTCAGATTCAGTTTCCTTGGACCGTCTTAAGCCAGTGTTCTCAGACTCTCCAGTGATTCCTGCTGCCCCTCCGCCTCGAGGACGTCCTCCTCTTCGNAGTTTAATGTAATACCTGGATACTAGTTTACTTTAGTTTAATGTAATACCTGGATACTAGTTTACTTTAGTTTAATGTAATACCTGGATACTAGTTTACTTTAGTTTAATGTAATACCTGGATACTAGTTTACTTTAGTTTAATGTAATACCTGGATACTAGTTTACTTTAGTTTAATGTAATACCTGGATACTAGTTTACTTTAGTTTAATGTAATACCTGGATACTAGTTTACTTTAGTTTAATGTAATACCTGGATACTAGTTTATTTTATTTTAATGCAGTACCTGGATACTAGTTTACTTCAGTTTAATGTAGTACCTGGATACTAGTTTACTACAGTTTAATGTAGTACATGGATACTAGTATACTTTAGTTTAATGTAGTACCTGGATACTAGTTTACTTTAGTTTGATGTAGTACCAGGATACTAGTATACTTTAGTTTAATGTAGTACCTGGATACTAGTATACTTTAGTTTAATGTAGTACCTGAATACTAGTTTATTTTAGTTTAATGTAATACCTGGATACTAGTATACTTTAGTTTAACGTAGTACCTGCATACGAGTTTACTTTAGTTTAATTTAGTACCTGGATACTAGTTTATTTTATTTTAATGTAGTACCTGGATACTAGTATACTTTAGTTTAATGTAGTACCTGGATACTAGTTTACTTTAGTTTAATATAATACCTGTATACAAGTTTACTTTAGTTTAATCTAGTACCTGGATACTAGTGGATCTAAGAGAACTATTTGCCAGAACAGACCAATTCTCCTCCTCTCCCTCCTTCCTCTCCTCCCCCTCCTCCTCCTCCTCTTTCTCCTCCTTCTCCTGGTGTAGGTAAACTCTCTCCTCCAGGTTGAATGATCCAACATCTTTATACAGTTCATCCATATCCAAACTCTAGAACATGTGTTTACATGCATGGGTGGTTTACACATTATACAGGGTTACCCAAAAACCATCAAAACTGAAGAAGTAAACATAATTTCAAGTAAACCTCCTTTGAAAGAGTGGCATGTTCAATTCATTACGGTACCATTAAAAGCTCTGTCTGATCACTCATTAATCAGAAATCAATGTTTTTATTTTTTGGTGTCGTTGCAGAAGTGAACCGCACATTTTTTTTCTTCAGAAATTATAAGATTTAAGCACTTTTTAACCAACATTATGATCAGGTTAAGATTTCAAGAAAATTATTGTAAATCGGCCATGCCACTATTTAATGTTTAAAGAAAGGTCGGAATGTTGACACTGAATGACCGCCTATGTAGCCCGGAATGTTGACACTGAATGACCGCCATGTAGCCCGGAATGTTGACACTGAATGACCACATATGTAGCCCGGAATGTTTACACTGAATGACCGCCATGTAGCCCAGAATGTTGACAATGAAAAACCGCCATAGCCCGGAATGTTGACACTGAAGGACCGCCTATGTAGCCCGGAATGTTGGCACTGAATGACCACATATGTAGCCCGGAATGTTGGCACTGAATGACCGCCTATATAGCCCGGAATGTTGGCACTGAATGACCGCCTATGTAGCCCGGAATGTTGGCACTGAATGACCGTCTATGTACTAGCCCGGACGTGAATGACAAAGTTTACAGCTGATATCAATTACAGCTGTGTTAATCAATCAATCGATATTTAAGAGTGAAATGTTGTACACATTTTTGTATGCGTAACTACTATCCACAGTGGGTCTAGTGGGTTCAGTTATCAAGGAAATGCAAATACTTTCGCACTTGTAGCCCATTGTGCATTTTTACATGAACTATGCAGCTTAAGCTTTTCCAAACCGACTTTTCAGGCGTATAAACCGATCAACAATATATCCTCTGTAGTTTGTAGTAGAACTGTAAATTCTAATTAAAATAGACAAAGTTTGAACTATATCAAGCGGTCTTATACACTTTATATCAAATTCTATAGATATTGGGATTTGAAAATTAGATATCGATGCAAATATTTAGTTTCTTAAAGTGCTTAAGTTGTCCTTTATTTAACATCTTTAGTTTGTACCCAGTTTTAGATTGTGTGTTCAGCAAACTATGAGTTTGATAAATAAGACTGGATAAAAACTGTCTTTTATTTTGCGGAAACCCCTGTATATGGTTTACTCCAGTGCACTGATGATGTATATTTGTATAATGTTGCATGATGAGAAAATAAAAATACAAAATGTTGAATAAGATATATCTAGTACACATATCTTTAACATAATACACGTTTACAATTTTACAATGTTTCTAATAAATATTTTCCAGGTAAAATTAAAATAAAAAACAAATTGCACTTTTATCGCAAATTTTTTTTCGCAAAATTTGGATAATTCTTGGATTAACAACCAGGTTTAGACACAGGGGTTGGTCGTAAACTACATGAAAGTATGAAGTTTTTAAAAATCCCCCCCCCCCCTCCTCGCTTCTAGTTTTTTTTTCTCTAGCACTCTCATTTTTGACACTATAACCTTGACATTATTTACTATTACTTTAAACAAAAATAATTTAAATTATTTTTTACTGAACATTTTTTTAATGCGTAGTGCAGGACAGTAAAAAGACCGGTCAGTACTAAACAAAAATATGGTAGCCTAAAACTTTTGTTATTTAAGCTATACATAGATTAAAAACTACATTTTAAGAAGCCTTAAAAAAATGGATTTAGAATAATGTTTTATGTCTTAATATTTGTCAAAGACAAATAAATATTATTTTTTACATTTTTCCAACCTATTTTTTGATTTTTTTTTCAAACCTCCCATAGCACCCAAACTATTCAAGAATATGCGCATTGCAACTTTTTACGTTTACTCTAAGGCCTTTTTTCTAGGGTGGGGGTTAGGGGGGGGGGTAACGCACCAATCCACGCCCCCCCCCTCCGACTATAAAAAGATTCAGACCCCCAAGCCTTTATAGGGTTGATTTAAATTTGGTTTATAGCTAATGAATGGTTAGTGCTAAAATATTATTATAAACTTCCGTGGTTTTTTGCATTTCCTATAATAATTTTGGATAACATCTAGATACAATTAATCGTTATAATCTGTATTAAAAATACCCTTATATACATATATGTTCAATTATGTAAATATATACTATACATTGCTGCTCACTCTGTATAATATACATTCAATACATATATTTATATCTTTATACTATGCTTTTCCGGAAGAAAAAGAAATATTTTATTAGGAAAAAATAACTTAACTAAAAAAATAATAAATGTGAAAAAAGAAAATAAACTAAATAAAGTAAAAAATGTGTTTCAGTTATTCACATGCTAACAGCTTGGAGAACGAATTTTCAAGAGACCTGAAAAAGTGAGCATGCACTCTCTGTCTTGTAATTCAACACGGCATGCGCGTGTAATTCCCTTGTGCTTCTGCCTTAGGGTTATTGTGAACGAAAAATCCCTAAATCTTGAAAAAGACGACATCTAGTATTCAATCTGTATTGTTTCCTTGGTTTATTAAACTCTTTTATAAAGCAATTTTATTCAAATTTGTGTTGAACACCTTTCTAATTTAGGGCTGGGAAAAGCTCTGTTAACGGAACCCCGGTAAATTTCGGGTTTTTTTCTTCTGAAAATTGCATTAAACTTTTAAAATAAAACTATATGTTTTGATGTTCTTGTCGTCTTCTGAATTTTGATTAAAAAATTGGTGTTTGTCCAGCCATTAAAGAATCTGGGTTCTCCGCAGAATAGGATAAATATTTGAATTTTCTAAATACTACTCATGCGGTCCGCAGAAAAGGATAAATATAGTTAGCGATTTTGCAAACCGTTAACGCCATTAATACTAATTGGACCATTAACAATTTTTTAATGATGTAAAATGCCGTTAAAGACTGGAGCCGTTAATAATTGTTAAAATTTTCCGTTAACGTCCGTTAAAAAAGAAATTAGATCATTAACTAGTGGTAATTAAAAACACGGTAAATGCCATTAACGAAATGAACATTACATTCTTTTTTTACCTTTAGACTATCTGAAACTTTATCTTTTTTAACGGTTAGAACTAATCGTTAACGAAAAGGCTAGAAAAATTTGGAACGTGCACAGCCCTACTTTCTATCCATATTGATTTTTAATTGATATCTTTTAAATATGTTTATTTATATCAAGGAAATGTTGAAATAGCTTCCAAACAAATAAAAAGTCGTCTTTACCATAAAAAAGTAGATAAGATACCTGCAGTGGTAAAGCTAGGAGGCTGCATTCTAGTATATGACTGAACCCATCACTGGAAAAAAACAATTAGGTATCTCATATATGTATATACATCCTATATATATATACTTGTCATAAGTTGGTTTAGTTTCCTTGTCCCTCGAATTTTCATAACCCAACCATCAGAGTTTGATGGAGAAGTGGTTAGCGTCTTTGGTTCGAAACACAAAGATTTGTAGTCCAAGTGCAAAATAAAAAACTGATGAACTGAGCCAAATTGATGATCAAACACTGTGTCTATGGATATGTATAATAAATAATAAACAGAAGATCTACTTGTATATATCTATATGGGTTTGAAAATTACAAGTTGAGTTTGTTGACTTTTTTAGAGATAGTTTAAATGTCAGGAAGAGCGAGGTGTTTCCTATGCTAGCTAAACGATAAAAATTTATTCTAGAGATTCCAAATTGTGTAGCTACAAAGCTAGGCCCAGAAACTGACTTAATCAATTTAAGACAAAAGTCTATAACCTATAGAATACACTAACATACATAAACAAGCAGTTAAACAAAATTCTGCAGCCCCCTATTCCTTTCTGAATTGATTTTTAACATGACTCTGTTGTTATGTCTAAAAATGATGCCCATCTCTAGTTATGAACAAATAAGATACATCGACATAAAAATAACGACAGATTCTTTATCCTCCCTTTCCTGAGGTAATCATAGATAAACACAAATATGTATTTTTAACATGACTCTGTTGGTATGAACAAAAATGATGCCCATCTCTAGTTATGTCCAAATAAGATACATCGACATAAAAATAACGACAGATTCTTTTTCCTCCCTTTCCTGAGGTAATCATAGATAAAAACAAATATGTATTTTTTTGTAATTATCTATATAATAAAACAAGACATTCGTATGTATATAATATATATGTTACCTATAGCCGGCTAAACGGCTGGACCGATTGGGCTGAAATTTTTTGTGGACACCCATGGGTGGCCGGGAGGTGTTATAGGCTAATTTTTTTCAACATTTTTTTCCATGGGCAACGCCAGAGGCGCAACTAGGGGGGGCGGCCGGGTGCGCGCCCTCCCCTAGCACCTGAGAGGGGGGGGCGCCCCCCCCCCTGCAGAATGAAAAGAAAGAAAGAATGGCGAAAATCAGTATCACAGGAACAAGAAAACCAATAAGAGGTGTTGTAGAAATTCTATAGCTAGTCTTTGATAATATAAGAGGTTTTACCTTTTCCATATTATAACTTGATTGAAATTAACCCTCAACAATCAACTTTGACGAATGAGTCTGAATATTGCAAACAAAACATTTATTTACACATAAAACATAAAGAAACGATACGAATGGTTATTGAGAACACATATTAGAATGTCCGCCTCTACGGTGGATATTGAGCTGATCGACTGCCTGGTCAGGGATCTCGTGCAGAACTAACTCCTCCATGCCCTGCTGCATGGTAGATTCCCCTTATCTCTGTACGTTCAACCCAAGCCAAACGAACCCATCATTTTTGGGTTTCTTTTGGCACTTTATGTTCTCCGGATAAGAATTGTTTCCGCAATCACGTATTTATAGGTTTTTGACGATAAACATCAAAACGGCTTTAATGGTCGGGTCCAGTTCTTTGTGGACATTTAGTATTTCAAAACTTTTCGAAAATTTGATTTATTCGGAGAACGGAGAAGAATTAAGTTAAAAGTTAACATTTCCATTAGAGGTTAGTAAGTTTACATTTGATTGTTATAGAGATATTATAAAAGATTTAGGTATTCAAATAAATCTCATACGGCACAAAACATATGGGTTTCCTTTTGTAGACGCTAAATACAGTATTACATCATGAATAATTAACAAAAAAAAGTCAAGGTTTGAGGGTTTTATGTGTCTCCGTCTAACTCCGGATACTGATTTAGTCTTATTTGTAAACATGATTGCCAAACTACATGTCAAGCATTGTAATCCAACCTGGAAGATTTCTTTTCAGAAAGCAATTAATTACTAGATACATCGGTTGAGGGAAGATGGGACTCTACTAGAAGAAAAGGAAAGTAGGTAAGTAGGAGGTAGTTAATTACTAGATACACTAGGTAATTGAAGTAGGAACTCTACTAGAGGAAAAGGAAAGTAGGTAAGTAGGAGGTAGTTAATTACTAGATACACTAGCTAAATGAAGTAGGAACTCTACTAGAGGAAAAGGAAAGTAGGTAAGTAGGAGGTAGTTAATTACTAGATACACTAGATAAATGAAGTAGGGACTCTACTAGAAGAAAAGTGAAGGGTTGGTTAGGTATTTAACGAAGGGGAAAGGGAAGATGTGAAGGAGATATGGATAAATGAAATAGGAACTCTAATAAAGGAAAAGGGAAGGGTTGGTTAGGTATTTAACGAAGGGGAAAGGGAAGATGTGAAGGAGATATGGATAAAGAGTTGAAATGATAGAAAAGAAATAAGAAGAGGAGGACGAACGTTAGATAGGAAGGTAAAGAGGTGACAAGGTATTACAATGGAAAATAGGGAAAAAAATGGTAGATGATTGAATAAGAAAATGGGTGGGCATGTTTGTGGGGGGGGGGCGGAGCTGCAATGAAAATAGATGATACTAACTTAAAAATGTGATTGTGGTGGAAATAGTAAAAACTGAGTGGAAAGGAAAAAGAAAGAGAAAATGAATAAAAAGGAAAGTAGTCAATATATTGTATGTATTGTGTAAAGATATTACAATATGAAGGATGCTGCCAATCATAGATAAAAAGATCCAGAGGTGCGTTCATACCATGTTTCATCAAAGAGATTGTTCAGAAATTTCGTAAACTATTTTTGTACCAATTGCGTATCAAATAGAATTAATAAATATGTATATATATTATACATATGAAGATATACAAAGAAATATTTCCCGATTTATTGTTATACATATATACATCTATATATTGAAATAAATCTTGTTTGTTGGTTTGTTTGTACTCACATGACCCCAAGGAAGGTGTGTACTGTGTAGCAGGTAAAAAACAGATATTAAAAAAGCTTGCAAGGAAAAAAGTAGATTTTTATGAAGGTTCTTAATTGTTTTAGTTGTTTTATGTTTTTATTCAGCTATTAAGCATGAGATAATAAATCACAATTTACTATCTAGTTTGGACCCGCCTAACAAGAGTAGGTTATTTTAAATGGTTGGCTCAGAGTTAAAAAGAAAAACCCCGCAAAAAATTTTAGCTTATTGAAGTACATTGAAAAACTTGTGGCTCTAGTCCTAGGAGCAATATTTAAAATATATAAAAGGAGCAAGATGCGCCCTAAAAGTCTAGTCTGTTATAGATATATTTGGCTTGACTGTTGATAATTTTGTATCTATTCAACAAGAAAACGGGAGACCTGATGGGGTGGTAACTCACGTGAAAGTTTTATAGCTGGTCTATTTCCACTAAATTTTGCACATTCATTAATTTATAACGGTTGCAATTAAAGTAAACTTTAAGAAGTGCAATTATTCCAAGAAAGAAGGGGGCTTGTAATTCATATATCTCTGTAATATTGTTCAACAGAAAGATTAATAGAGATATAAATCAAATTTTTAGATAAAGTTTAATATAAATTTTAAATTTATCGTCCAACGCATAAAATATCAATAAATGGGAAATGTCCCCCTAGGCTCGAGTTTAATTTATCAAACTGAAATATGGAGGCGAACTACAAGTAATATTTTTTAATCATATAAACGTTTAAGGGGTATATTGTACAAATTGTACATTAAAGCTAAAAATTGTATACGTTCTTGGATCCTTTTTATAAGAACTTAACATTTTTAAGAATTGGAATTAATTTTAATAAGATCCAGAGAAAAACCTTTCAGTAATCACAGAACATAATTGTAAACAATAAATTTGAGGTTTGAGAGAATTGATTGTGTATAAATATAATAAAATGACTGTCAAAAGTCAAAAGTCAAAGTCTGCTGAACCGGTCGGGCCCAATTTTTGAGGTACTTAACTTTACCCCGGGGAAGGTTATAGATGGTTAAAATATGAGAAAAAATTCCTGGACAAAATGTCGATTTAAAATTTGTTCCTAAATCTATCTGCAATGTTTACAAAAAATACGCAAAATTTTGAGTTTTACAATAAAAAGGAAAAATGGCTGTTTGGAAAGCAGAATTCAAACATTTTAAAGAATTGCTGCTTGAAGATCGGTGCAAAGCATTCTGAAAGCCAAGTACTTTATAGTCTGCAAAATAGCAAAAGTTAATTAATAATAAAAATAAACCCTAAACAACGACTACCAGAAAATAAACAATGAATGTCTAATATCAGAAAAAAAACTATTTGAACTATACCAGAAAATAACAAGATAACAAAATAACAGAAGATAAACTCTTAAAAAGAATACCAGAAAAAAATCCTTATGAGAACTTTTCTTTTCTTAGCAATTACCAGAACATTCAATATAAATACTAAATACTAGAAATTTAACTATTAATAATAAATACCAGAAATAAAACTATAAATATAAAAGGAACTGAGTTTTTGCCGCAAACTCAAATTTTCTCATTTCTATATCTCTGCAACCTGTTGGTGTAAACCTTTGAAATTTTAAACTTAGATTATTTGATCTAACAGAACTAATAGTTTGAAATATCTAAGGTCTATGACATTGGGTTGCCAAGATAAAGGGATAAGAATATTTGAATTTGTGGCAAAAACTCAGTTCCTTTGTCTCGTTTTTGTGTAGTTTCATACTATTCCTTTAGTTCAAACTGTCAAGGAAAAATAAACTGTATAATTTTATAAAAGTTTGTTCTAAGAATGCAGACAAATCTATGAATATACTATTCCTTTAGTTCAAACTGTCAAGGAAAAATAAACTGTATAATTTTATAAAAGTTTGTTCTAAGAATGCAGACAAAACTATAAATATACTATTCCTTTAGTTCAAACTGTCAAGGAAAAATAAACTGTATAATACTATAAAAGTTTGTTCTAAGAATGCAGACAAAACTATAAATATACTATTCCTTTAGTTCAAACTGTCAAGGAAAAATAAACTGTATAATACTATAAAAGTTTGTTCTAAGAATGCAGACAAAACTATAGAACACCCTTAAGAACAAAACTGTAGAACACCCTTAAGAACAAAACTGTAGAACACCCTTAAGAACAAAACTACAGAACACCCTTAATAAGTCTCATACTAAGTTCCCTGCAGGGCCCACCGTTTCTTTTATTCAACATGATTTGCCAATGCCCCTGTGTCTGTATAACTAGCTGAAATGCCCGGCGTTGCCCGTGAAAAAAATAACGAATTTTGAAGAAAAAAAACAATTGATTATTGAAAAGACAAAGGAATTGAGTTTTAGCAACAAATTTACATGTTCATAACCCCAATATCTTTGCAACCTGATGATGTAAACCTTTGATATTTCAAACTTAGACTATTTAATCTATCAGAATTAATAGTTTGAAATGTCAAAGGTCTAGGAAAACGGGTTGCTAAGTTATAGGAATTAGAAAATCTGAGTTTGTGGCAAGAACTCAATTCCAAACGAACTTTTTAGCCTATGTTACCTCCTGGGTAACCATGGGTTCCCTAAAAAAATTCAGCCAATTTAGTCAAACTGTTTGGCCAGCTATAGCAAACTTATATTATACATCCTAATATGTAGATATTGCTTATAAGAAACATTGGAGAAAATATCAGAATAAAACCCTTGACGATTTCGCTAGATCGGTAACTGCCCTGATCGAACTCACGTGGAAACCTGAAGCAAGTGGTAACCTGAAGCAAGTGGTAACCTGAAGCAAGTATTACCTTACTTATAGCAAACATCTATGTAGTACGAGGTGTGATCAATAAGTTTCGCTAAACATTTCTAAGTGGTACTTCTTCTTGAAGTCCTAGCTCTATATACTCTACTTTATCTATATACTATATATACAGATCAGGTTGACGTCAAGCAGATTGTTGTGGTGAGTGTTCTTCTGAAGGTGAATCGTCTTAATTGTCACAGCATAGGATCTACCTAGAATATTGAGAAAGAGGACAATTTGGAGGCTCGATTACACAAAAATGTTTTTATCAGACAATGCAAAAACCAGCCAGAACCCATAAAACATGATCCAGAACGCATTTTAAAACAATTTTATGAACTTTAATGTTAGATTAATCGGGTTAGGAAGGAAAGAATTAATATTTGAAGGAATATGCCATATTCCGGTGGGAAAAAATTGTTTAAACCATATTAGCCAGGCTTCTAGAATTATGCTTGCCAGAGAATTTGATATTTGCCTTTACATTATAAACAAAGTTAAAAGGCAAGGTTTATAAATGGCAAAGATATGGGTCAAATTTGTTCCAAAGTCTCTGACATAATACCAAAGGGATGATGCATTGATTATTGATCTCAAATGTAAATCAAAACCAGAAAAATCTTTTCTACATTCAACACTCAATCTCTCTTTGCTTTTTACCGCTCTGAAAGGGTCTAAAACAGAGTCTGATGGATCAAATTTGAGACCATTTCAAAAAATGTTTTGCTGTGACGGACGTAGCCGATATACTTTTGGAAGAACGCTCCTTACATTACAATAAAGATCAGATTTACATGAACTGATCTGAAAAATAACCTGGTATAGATATAGGAACTTTCAATTAATATTTCAGGGCTGAGACTTCTACAAGTACCCCTAAATTTGTTTTAGCGAAACTTATTGATCACACCTTGTATATTGACTAACCTGGTATTTATATGAGGAAGTGAAGTGTAATGAAAACCAAACATCTCATCTACACCAGGTCCAGAACAGATTAATAATTGATACTTAACAAAATACGAAAAAATTTGATTATTTTTTTGTTGCTTAACGGTATTATTTACATATTTTAGAATGCACATTGTATTACCCCCTAATTATCGAACTATCTGGATTTTTGAAGATCACAATTTAAATTCACTAAAGGAATAGAGTCGTTAGTGCAAACTCAGATTTTCTAATTAGATATTTCAACTTATGAATTTTTTTAGATCAAAAATTCTAAGTTTAACAATATCAAAGATAAACACCACCAGGTTCCACATTTTTAGGGATAAGAAAATTATCAAATTTTTAAAAAAGTAATAATTATCGGAATACGAAGATGTTGTGGCATGGAAGACCGAATATTTGTGGCTCATGACTAAAAAAACCTCTGTAGTGCATTTATAAAACGTTTAGACAAGAAAAGATAGTTCTACTTGCACCGAGTTTGCTAAATCAAACCTGTCTTGTAAGAGTTAAAACTGGAGGGCTCGTACTCGTATATTTTGTAATTGCTGTAAAGATTAAAATATAATAGGTTTTCAATCATAAAGTCCTCTGATCAAAGAGCTATGAAAAAGAACGAAATAGTTTTGAATTTCTACCCGGAAAAGTTTTCTTTTCTAATAATAATAAAATCAAAGTTAGAGGAGCTACGAGGACACAAAGGAAGGCTTTAACTCAAACCTCAGATTGTCTTGGCAAGTACAACATTTAGGCGGAGTGTGATTCCTTTTTTGCGCAATGTCCCTTAAAATTCCAAAAAAGAGAGAGAAGGGGATTAAATTTTGTAGATCCAGAAAAATACTATCTGTGGGATGCTTGCGTAGAGACTGGCAACTGGTGGGGTCTTAAATGTAAGACATGTGACCGCAGCGCTCGGCCCCCTAGCCACAGCGCTCGGCCCAGAAAGTGTCATAATTTAACCTAACCCGTGGCCGCAGCGCTCGGCCCAGAAAGCGTCTTAACCTAACCTAACCCTAAATAAATACTAATTTAATTATTTTTCTGGATCTACAAAATTTAATCCCCCTCTCTCTGTTTAAGGATATTTACTAATTTGTATTAGTCCTGCTTTTGAATGTCTTCTTCCTCCCTTTTCCTATGCACAAACCCTGAAAACTCACTGTGTCCGAGATTTTGAAATGTTTTTTTTCTATTTGCCTCCATACATAATTTTGCAGTTTCTTAGTTTTTTTAGTTTTAATAAAAGATGAAAGCAAAGAGAAGAATTAATGGATTTTTCTTAATTAATATATATTTCTGATCCCATTATCCCTTCCTTAGCTGAAATACAGTTCACAAGATATATTTGAGGCTACTCTTCAACTTTGTTAAGATGGGGGGGGGGGGACTTTTGTTGATTTAGTTTACAAACTTAGAGAGAAATTTATATATTAAACAAAATACAAAATGATAAGCAATGTTCTCATGTTTAGTTTTATTTTATTACATGAACTAAGACGAAGCACTGTCTGTGTTTATAGATGATTGACAAGGTTGGCAGATTTAAAAGGGTTGAAACTCTGTCTAATATCTATTCTATAAATTTATTTTGATTAAAATTTTTTTTTAAACCTGATGATGCATCGAAATTTTTGTTGAAAAAAGATCTAGTCAAGACCTACGACGTAGTTCAGAACTAGATTTTTTTCTCCTATTTAATAATTGATTTAACTTCTAAAATCACATTCTTGAGGTGAATATTATTACATATGAAAGAAAAATGAATAAAGGCAACTACTCATTTTATTAAATATTCGACGAGTCGGTTTTTTCTTACGATTTATTATTATTTACAACAATACCAAAACTAAAGGAAAATACTATACGAATAAATATTATGAATTGAAGATGTTTCAGAGTGATGGGGAATCTTCAGGGGAACCTCTAGTCAAAGGAGCTGGTCTTCAACTGATTATTTTCCCCAGATTTCACTCCATCCTAGGCTAGAGCTTTAACCCTAGTTACCCGGGAGCTGGCCCGCCCTCTCCCCAGTACCCGGGCCTCTGGAATAACGGAACAATTGGCGTGGCTTCGGTTATTTATAGAATTCACATGCAAACTCAAATAAATCCGTTAGGATTCAAAATAGGATTCAAAAGTCCAACCGAAGGGTAAAAAGGGGGGGGGGGGGGTTATACCCCTAGGTAGCTATGATCTCAGCGATCTAAAAAGATCCTTGAATCGCTGATCGTAAAAGATCAACAAAATCACCCATTGTTACAATATTTTTGCCCTCCACCGCTGGGTTTTAAGTTTTTATATTTGTATTTTTTATATTTTTGTATTATATGTTTATATTTTATAATATTTGTTTCATATAAATGTGTGTCTCAACCCTTACCGCTGTTTTTTTTTTCTCAAACGAATCATCATTGGTTGTTATCCATATATATTTGCAACCTGGTGGTGAAATCATTGATATGTAAAACTTAGAATATTTGATCTAACATAATTCGTAGGTTAAAATATCAAAGATGTCCTCAACATTGGGTTGCAAAGTTTAGATAAGAAAATAAGATTGTGATTCCTTTTTTGGTAAAGGAATTGAGTCTTTGTCACAAACTCAAAGTTTCTAATCCCTATATCTTTGCAACCTGATTGTGTAAACTTTTGATATTTCAAACTTACATTATTTGATATAACCGAAATCATAGTTTAAAATATATAAGGTATATGACATTGGGTTAAGTAGATATAAGGATTAGAAAATCAGAGTTAGTGGCAAAGACTCAATTCCTTTATTTTGTAATTAGAAAAAGGAAATGAGGCCGAACTCTGTACTAACAATGTAATAAGATCATGCAACCCTGTAACACATTCTTATTATATTTTTCACTTTTTAGGAAGAATTTTTTTCTGAAAAAGAAATTATGGTTGATTAAAAAATGACCCTCTTTCTACAGAAAAAAAAATAGTTTTTAAGATCAATGCATTTTTTGTTTAAAGAAAAATTTAACCTTGAAGTTTATTTACATATATCTCAGGAGGTTTAGAATTATTAAAGTTTTGAACAGGTATCTTGTATTATATATATATATATATATATGGCGCCATGACAAACTCCTGAAAAACAAACTTCTGAAAAACAAACTCCTGAAAGACAAACTCCTGAAAAGACAAACTCATGAAAGACAAACTCCTGACGAGACAAACTCCTGAAAATAAAAACTTCTGAAATGCAAACTCCATAATATCAAATTTAAAAAATGTTTCACAATTTATATATAATCTAGCCGCAGCGCTCGGCCCACAAAGTGTCATAACTTAACAAAACTCATGGCCGCAGCGCTCGGCCCCCTAGCCTGTCCTAGCCGCAGCGCTCGGCCCAGAAAGTGTCTTAACCTAACCTAACCCTAAATAATGAAAAATAAATAATAATAAATTTGCTGGTTATTCTGATCATTGTAATACTTTGCTGCTTCAAGCATATTCAAATTACTAAAGATTGAGAATTTTTTCTAGGATATTTGCTAATTTTTTCTCCTAAAGTTTATTAATTTTATCATATTTCATTCAGCGAAAAATTTCATAATTTCAGGAGTTTGTCTTGTCAGGAGTTTGTCTTTCAGGAGTTTGTCTTTCAGGAGTTTTTCATTCAGAAGTTTGTCTTTCAAGAGTTTGTCTTTCAGGAGTTTTTCATGGCACCATATATATATATATATATATATATATATATAAAATACGGTCGTAAAGGAGGATCAATGAAATTGTGGAATAGGAAGACGACATAAAATTAATCTTTTGTGTAGATAAATTCAATGTTTTTATAAAGCAAGTTGTTTTATCCTTAGCTTGAAAATAAACTTATTTTGTGAAATGAAGGGTGGTTTGTTGTGAACATCTGAGGGGACTCTTTAACTCTTCTTTTATTCTTTCTTAATAATTCGGTGTCTAAATAACCTTTTATTCGCCATACTGCACATACAATAATTGCTTGCGCTTCAAGGCCTGGGAAAATTTGGCAGTTGATGAAGAAAAAAATATAAATTTTACAATTTGAAAACATCAGAGAGATGTACCTTTGAGTGACTATTCGGAAAAACTAAGTATGGATAATGTTATTTTGGAAAATGTCATTATGGCAACCGTGATTATGTCAAGTGTAATTATGGAAAATCTAATTATGAGAAGTGTTATAATTATCAAAAAAATTATATATTATTAATATCCTTAATGCTGATCACTCTTTCCAATTAACCCTCTATCCAACCACATCGTGACAGCTCAGATTCTTTCTAAAAATATGGAATTATTTAGTTTGTTTATTTCATGATAACTTATATAAACCCTCTTGACCGTTTTGCCTTACATTTTAAATGGGTTACTCGCTTATAGACCAACAGATACTTTCTTGGATTTGTTTAAAATAATTGATAGATTTCCAGACAAAGCTGGGTTCCCAAGCTAGTTTCTCTTTACATAGTTAAATAAAATAGCAATAATGATTCCGCTAAGCCAAATTAAATAGCAATACGATATTGAAATATAATAAAAACAAGACAGATTTTGTTCAGACAAAATAAAAATATATATCATATCTTGAACATGAAACATGGACAAATTATGAAATTCGGGTATACACATAGTTTAACGAATGCTGAAAAGCATTTAATATTGTATTTTTATTTCACGAATTCTTTGTTAAAGATTGATAAATGACAGTGTGATATATAATTTCCAGGCTTATTCTTATTTTGATTAAAACTTAAAATTTTAAAATTAAGTTAATCTACTTTTCTAGAATCTAATTTTCAAAAAAAAATGTTGTAGCAGAAGTAAAAAAGAAATTTGTCTTTTTAGTTTAACAGATTATAATGTTTCCTTTTACTTTAACTACGAAATGACCTTACGTTTAACTTACCTTGTTCAATGTAAGTTCAGAATATTATTCAAATACAGAATATTATTAAAATACAGAATATTAAGTACAAAATGTTAAGTACATAATATTACTTAGAGAATATTAAGTACAGAATATAAAGTACAGAATATAAAGTACATACCATAATAGACAAAATGTTTAAGATAAAACCACAAGTTTTCTAAATGTAAAATATATTATATAGATGGTTGTAGATCAGATTGGAAGTATATGTTAAGATTGACAGTTTAATGTAAAATCTGACACTTTGAGACAAGAGAGAAAAATAAAGAAAAAGAAAACTGGAATGGATACCTCGTAAATTCCTTGATCAGAAGAGATAGTGAAAAACTGGGAAAAAAACTCCAAAAGAAAACTAGAAAAGAATCACCAGAAAATGCTAGGAAAGAACCCCTAAAGAAATCTATAAACGAACCCCTAAAGAAATCTATAAACGAACCCCTAAAGAAAACTAGAAAAAGAATTCCTAAAGAAAACTATAGAAAAGAATCTGTAGCAAATACTAGAAAAGAACCCCTAAAGAAAACTAGAAAAGAATCTCCATGAAATACTAGGAAAGAATCCCTAAAGAAAACTAGAGAAGAATCTCTAGGAAATACCAGGAAAGAATCCCTAAAGAAAACTAGAAAAGTACATCTAGAAAATATTAGGAAAGACCCCCCAAAAAAACTAAAAAACATTCCTATAAAACCATAAAAAATCCCAGAAGAAAACTAGAAAAGAATCCTTTAAACAAACTAGGAAAGAATTCCCTAAAAAAATAAAGAACCCCTAAAGAAAACTAGGAAAGAATTCCCAAAAACGAGAAAAGAATCCCTTAAGAAAACTAGGAAAAAATCCCTTAAGAAAACTAGAAAATAATTTTCTAAGAAAACTAGAAAAGAATACCAAAAGAAAACTAGGAAAGAACCCGTAATTTGAAATCTGACTTTCTTGTACTCCTTTATTTATTAACGTCTATCCTTATCCTCTCTTCTCCAGTCTACATACTTCAATTCTACATTCTATTCGGTTTTTATTGAAAATTCCTTTCATCATATTCTTTTCATCCCCTCTCACATTTATCATGGTTTCTGTATACTGTATAGTTTACATCAAAGGGAGGAGAAATACTTTTACTTCTGGTCTTATTAATTTGTTTTTATCAATTTAGCAGACTTAGGTCATACACGCCCTATTCTGCGTCATACACGCCATATTCTGCGTCATACACGCCATATTCTGCGTCATACATGCCATATTATGCGTCATACACGCCTTATTATGGGTCATGCGCCCAATTTTAAGCGTTGCTGATACCCACTTACTTTAATATCAGAATTCTGAAAAACTTTAATTGAGATTTCTAAGCTTTTTTTCTGGCTGAAAACCGTTGAGGACATAACAGATTTTAGATAAAGGTTTGGACTTTTTACTACAATACTAACAATACCAAACTAAAAGTTTTCAAGCGAATAAATAAACTTTTACCGTATTACGTGCTGAATGAACTTTTGCATTTTTATGGCATCAATTTAGTTAGGAAGAGATATTTTATGCATCATTTCCTTAAAGGGGCTGTTGTTAATATTTCAAGTATCATTTAAATTTTTAAAAAAGGGGTATGTCGGATTCACGAAGTAATTTTTTTTTATAAAAAATATGTCGTCGTTTTTCTAGCTTGAAAAGTGTTCAATTCATTGTCTCGCAGAAGAAATGCGCAAAATGCTCTAAAGAGAGTGACTTGCTAGACTTGGTAGTTAAGATGAAAGTGCAGAATTGTAGAGAAAAACTTTATGATTTATTTAATACCATGTACAATTTTTAAGTGTAAAGCCGTTTGTAATTTTTAGTTATTTCAGTCAGCTGAAGAAACCAAAATTTAAAATACTGAATTTCTAAATAGTTTAACATTGATATCTAATTTAGGTTCACCGACGTAGGGTCAAACGAACCACAGCCAAACGACATTAGCGTACATCATTACTCTGTATACTATGACCTCGTTGGTTTACTATTTGTCGCGTTTTACCCTATGTCCAGTGGCGGCCATAAGGGGGGTTATTGGGGTTACTTACCCCACACCCCCTAGAATCCTGGGGGTAAATACCCCCCCTAGAATTCTGGGGGTAAATACCCCCCCCCCCCCCTAGAATTCTAGGGGTGATTACCCCTGAACATCTATTCCGGCCCTGAATAGCAGGGGTTACTCCATTTGCTGCCTCTACAAGTAACAGTTCCAGTTGCCTTGACCCCTTTCCTTCAAAAAAAAATACATTCCCTATTGATTAGTCTGCACTCAAATGTAAAGACGACTATTTTCATGATAGTAAAAGTTTTTGCGGCATTTTGCAGATGCCTAAACAGTTATAATCTTTGAAAACTGTTTAAAATTTAAACAAAAAATAGAAACGGAACTTATGTATATTGATAATTAGGTTGCTAACATGGCTGCGGAACACCACGAAAACGGAAAGGCTATCTAGCCTTGCACTCATGCACTCCCATCCTAATAGATTAAAATTAATCAAACATGAAGACATTCTGAACAAGTTTTTAAGCGCCAAGCCGCGCCGACTTTATAATGGAGAAAAGAGTTGTTACTTTGTTTTTGTTTTTAAAAAAAGGTTGATTTTAAAATTGAATATCTTTTAATTTGCACGAAAAGAATTAAAATGTGCACTGTGCAGATACGTCGGAATCAGATATTCCAAATTTTAGGTCAACATATTCTAAATGATTCTAAATTCTAAAGTAATAGTCAATGTCATTAAAATTAGATGTTTTTTAATAGAAAAAAATGGCATGGACAATAAAAAAAACTTGTTTACTTATAAATAATGTCATTTCCACATTAGATTTCGTTAAGATCTTCACATAATACATTGACGACAAGAAAATTTAACAATGAGTAATGACCATATTTTGTCAAAGTCTTGCAGAGTAGCTTTTCTAAAGATTTAAAAAAGTAACATCTTTTTCCTCTTAGAGTAAAACTATTATTTGCCTTTTTTGTCGATGTTTGCCAAAAAGTTTAGTCAAAATTAAATAAATTCAGTTTTTTTACAGATCTTTGTAGTTACTGTAAAATGAATGACTATAATGAAGGATATAAAACAAGGTGAAAGCTGAAAGGTATGCCTTTATTTGATTGAGTTTTAAATCCCAGAAATGAGTGGAAAATGCAAATCAAACCCAATTAAAACCAATAATTTGATATACATCATAATATTTTTCTAGGGGGGGGTAAAAAAATTTCTAGGGGGGGGTAAAANGTTTTAATTGGGTTTGATTTGCATTTTCCACTCATTTCTGGGATTTAAAACTCAATCAAATAAATTACCCCTACCTACAGAATTCTCATGTCCGCCACTGCCTATGTCGTTTGACCCTATGGCATTTGACCCTAGTTCGTTGACCCTATGTCGGTGAATCCTAGTTTATGCTTGATCAGACAAAGCTTGTCATGCCATGTCACACAATAAATAAAGAGTCCCTTGAAATTATGACTATACAGTCTCCTTTAAGAAACATAATTTCTTTAAAGGATTCTTCACTTTGTCGTGTATTGTGGTAAGGTAAGCTAACAACTTTAATTTCAAAATAGATTATCAAGCACTTAATAATCTTTTTGATAATATCTAATTTCCTGACCAATTGCTCAAGCCCTCCTACCTTTTTCAATAATTTCCAGGATTTCTTATAATTCTTATCCTAAAACGTCCCCAGAAATGTGAGCAAATCCCCATTATTTAAACTCATTGGTTTATTTCTGATGTTTATAATAATATAAAAAATGGCAAACTTGAATCTTCTATAATTACTCACATAAACCATCCAAAAAATAAGGATTGTTGAAGAAAACCACAAAAATAAGAATACCATTCTTTAAGTTTAGGATTCTGCTGGTTTGAAGAACATGTTGGGAAAAAGTTTAATAAAAGGTTAAATGTGTAAAACCGCCATTAATCCTTTTTATAAATATCCGCAGTACTGAGGAATTCGTCTCTAACTATTTATCTTTCTATCCTTTCTATCCTTCATCTTTCTGTCCTTTCTGTCCTTTCTATCCTTCATCTTTCTATCCTTCATCTTTCTATCCTTTCTATCCTTCCTATCCTTTCTATTCTTCCAATCCTTCCTATCCTCCTCACTATTTTTCCCATCCTTCATATTCTTCCAATCATTCCTGTATGTAGAATGTATAAATAAGGAATAAAAAAAAGTTGAAATTTTGTTAGATTGGAAATTCCTTTAACTTAGAAGGAGATCTCGTTAAAACTTTCTTGAGAAATGGGAAGGTTCTGGTTTGCAGATTTCCAATAAAAATGAACAGGTATACATTCCTTTCGCCCCCCTTACTCTATAAATATA